ATTGACTTCTTTAAATAAAAATACAAGGATTAAATGGGCATAACGAGAAAATTACCATTTCATATTTAAAGATGGTTCCTCCAGCGCTGGGTTAAAGCACAGTGGAAGGATGATAGGTGGAAACTTGTCTTGCTGCTATTATCCAGTGGATATATTGGCATCCTAAAGGTTGAAATCCTGTCTTGTACCATTTCCCAAAGTATATGGGTAAAATAGTATTATAATTTGTTTTCCAATTCTTGCTTTAAAAGTGTCCTTTGTAATTTAACATTTGTAATTTGAAATTGATTTGCTTTGATATCACGTTTCCCTGTAAAAATTGCCATTAGCTTTAAAATGATTACAGCAAATATGAATGCTAGCATCTCAGGACAGCTAGCATCTCAGGACAGAAAAACTGTGTGTAATCTATTATTAGATCTAGATTTTAAAAGCCAAATCTAACTTGTCAATAGGTGAGCAACCTTATTTAACTTTTTACAATTCATCTGTAGTTCAATTTCCATTTAAGAAGATGATGTATCAGAATTCTTACTAAAGTAGAGATTAGATTAACCTCATTAAACAGGAGCTGCTAAAGTGGACGTGGCAGGACATAACCATATAATCTTAATCTATTATTATATGAAATTAAAAAGATGCATTTTCATACTTATACCTGTGGATTTGGTAAAGTTTTACTTATTTCATTATCTTTTTAAATGCCTGGTGCATGAATACATTTGAAATGTATGCTGATTTTTAAATTCCACTAGGGTTTTGTAAATATTTTATCAGCTCTTTTAGTTCTGTATACAATTTTTATTGGTTAAAGAAACAATCTTCAGAAATGTGGTAGGGCTGTGTTTGTCCTATATCTTTTCAAAAAGTGTTTTGGTTGATGTTTTTAAGGGTTGTTCTTAAAGCTGTTTTAGTTATTTTCCTATTTTCAACCTAAAATACAATGTTTCCATACTGTGTAAGCCAGCGTAAGGGATGAAGCTGTGATTGTGTTACCAAACATTTCAAACTACATGTTGTTAAATATTGCCTTTTCCTATTTGCACTAATTCTTAAAATTCAACTGCTTATTGGTAATTTAGCAAATGACACCAGTCATTTCTCTGGATTTTTAATCATGCTTTCCCCCAAACATTTTGCATTTGTTTAAAATTTTGCTCCTCCTTTTGATTACATTTTTAAAAATGACATTTTGGTTATTGAAAATTCAGAAAGATGTGGCACACGGATGAGAGAAGCTTTATGCAAGGTAAAATCATGTAATAAAACTGACAATTGGACTTTGTTGGCAGAAACAAGTTTTATATATATATATATATATAGAGAGAGAGAGAGAGAGAGAGAGAGAGAGAGAATAATAAGTGTTTGTTCTTATCATGAAGTGATGTCATACTGGATTCTTCCTTACCAAGAAGTTTTAGCATATATAGTGTCAATTGCAGCACTTAGATCAATGTGTATTATTAAAGTGTAATATCAGTGTCTAAAATTAAAGCGTAATAATGTAAATGTTAATCCAAAAATTAAGTTAGAGAAATTTTATGGTTGAAGAGCACACAGTGATCTATGTAAAATATTGTCCTCACATGTGTGTATTTTTTTTAAAAGCACTTTCCTATTAACAACTAGCATGTGAATGAACTATAGATTCTCATATTTGTTAATCTGTAACATAGTGAAGTAAAATTAAACTTTAATCTGTCTGTGAGTGGATAATCTGATTATACAAATGTTGAATCAAAGCACCTTATACTATGCTGCTTAAATTTGCTTGTAATTGCACCTTTTGTTATCTGCACATTGTTTCTTATTGAATATTATTGGATGATAACATTGCTCCCTGTGGTCTGAGTGGATAATTAGCATTATATTTCAATCCTACATTGTATTGTGAGTTCAGTGCTTCAAAAATAAAAATGACTTCCATTGGTTTACATTGATTATTTAATCTATTTTGCTTTTTCACTTTAAAATTAAAAATCCAAATGCTACATAAAGCTTTCAAGGGCAGGAGAAGAACAAAGTAACATCTATTAACTTGAATTGAATTAGCAGTTACAAGTTAATATTTTCCTACTAATTTAGCTTCTTTTAAAATATAATTTTTAGTTAAAATGTTTTCTTTCATGTCCCAACTATTAAAACAGCTTTCTCGCTTTAGCCAGGAAGTAACTAGTCTTTCTGACAGCTCTCAGGTTGCTATTTAGTTTTTTTTAAATGAATGCTTTTATAAGGTTTTGGTGCATATACAGTAGGCATTTTATAGATCTTGGCAAATAAAACATGAAACATTTTAAAAAAATCACTAAGACCATCATTTTAAAAATGCATAAATAACAAAACACAGACCCAGTTTCTTCACCCATGTTGTATAACCAAGATCCTTAAATCAGCCTACCATAACCTTCATTGTAAGCCTGTTCTGGAATTTTACTACCATTCTAGTTAAAAATCTTTTCCTAATATCAAACCTAAATGGCCCTTGCCACAAATTAAGCCAAATTACTTCTTGTCCTACCTTCAGTGGTGATGGTGAACAATTGACCACTGACCTCTTTATAACAGGTCTTAACATAAAACTGTTACTAGTTTTTCTCAAGACAACCTGCCCAGTTTTGTTTTTGTTTTGTTTTTATTTTATTTTTTTATTCTTCATAGGTCAGGTTTTCCAAACCTTTTGTCATTTTTGTGGTTCTCCTGTGGAACTTCTCCCATTTATCCACATCTTTCCTAAAATGTGGAACTCCATGCCCAACATAGTACTCCAGGAGAAGCCTCAGTGATCCCAATGAAATCAAGATAATTGCCTCACATGTTTTCCCTATAACACTCCTGTTTAGCATTCCAAAATACTAACCTTTTTACAACTCATTGAATTTGATTCACTATAACCCGCAGATCCTTTTTAGCAGCAGTACTGCCTTGCCAGTTACTCACTACTTTGTAGTTCTGCGTTTGATTTTTCCTTCTTAAGTGAAGTGCTTTGCACTTGTATGTATTGGACTTTATATTTGTGATTTCCGACCAATTCTCTGATTTGTCAAGGCCATTTTGAATTCTAACTCTGTCCTCAAAAGTGCTTGCAATCCTTCCCAGTTTGGTGTCATTGGCAAAAGTTACAAACCTATTCTTCATACCATTATCCAAGTCTTCAGTGAAAATACTGAATACAGACTCAACACATGGCGGGGGGAGATTGGTTTCTTGGTTTGTACTGAATGATCTCAGTAACACTGCTGAAACTGGCCACCCTCATGCTTTCTCCTCATCTTTCACATCAGCAGGTGTGGATTGTCTCTTGATTGAATAGTACAGTACTGGACCTAGGTTTGATCCCTGTAGCTCTCCCTCTCTTTTTGACAGAGAACCATTGATAACTATTCTTTGAATGTGGACTTTTAATCCACCTTTATAATAGTATCATGTAGGCCACGTTTCTGTAACTTACAATAACATTTTAGTAAAATCAACATGCCACATCTGTTATTCTCTGCCATCCACTACTCCAGTAATCGTGTCCAAAAAATAAAAAGTAAATTGGGTTGGTTTGGCATGATTTATACTTGACAAATCCATGCTTGGCTATTCCTCACAACCCTCTTATCCTCTAGGTACTTACAAACTGATTGTTTAAAAATTTGTCCTACTAGCTTTCCAGGTACTGGAATCAGGTTAGCTATAATTCCTCTTGTTCTCTTTGTTCACCTTTCTAAAAATTATTATGTTGTCCCAGAAGTCTGAAGAAGGGCACTCATCCATTGTCCATGCATTCTCAAGGATAATTGCTAACAGTTTCAAGATGGCTTCAATTAGTTTCTTATGTACAATAGGATGAATTTCTACTGGCCCTGACAACTTGAATACATCTTTCTTACCTAAATATTATTTAACCTGTTTTTTCCCTATTTTGGCTTGCATTCCTTCCCCCTTGCTATTAATATTAATTGTGTTGACTATATGGTCACCATTAACCTTTTTAGTGAAAACTGAAGCAAAATGGGCATTAAACACTACATCCTTCTTAATATCATGTGTTGTTAGTTCTCTTTCCTTGATAAACAGAAGACCTATAATTTCCTTCAATGTTCCATTCATCCTAATTATTTAAAAAGCCTGTTTTTATTTCCTTTTATATATCTTGCTAACTCATTTTGAGCCTAAGCCTTTCTGATTTTTGTCCCTTCTTTCTTGTCCTACTCTTTTAGACTTCTTAGTAATTTGTTCTTCCACTTTTTGTATGATCCTTTTTTATTTTCATGTCATTAAGAACTCCTGATGGAGTAATATTGGCCTCTTATTATCTCCATTTTCTTTCACATCACAATTTCAGTTATGTCTAATACTGTCTCCTTGAAAACTGCCAGCTTTCTTGAAAGAACAAGCCCTATAGCACCTTTCATGGACAGAACCCACTTCCTCAGATGAGGAGAGTGAAGTCCTTTATCCTTTAGATTTTTTTCACATGAGGTTATACCTAGCAGTTTTCTGAGTTTTACAGGGACTTTTTAAAATCCTTTATCTTGCTATTGTCACTCCCTCCTTGCCTTAGAATCATTAAATATATCTATTTATGATCACTTTCACACACATTGTCTTCCCCTTCAGATTTGTAATTTAATTCTTCCATTAGTCAGAATCAAGTCAAAAATGGCAATTCCTCTAGTTCCAGTTTCTGAAACAAAAAGTTTTCCCTAATACATTCCAAGAACTTGTTGGGAATTTAGTGTTGTCCAGTATTACTTTTTCAATATATAAGTGAGGCAGTTAAAATTCTTCCTTTACCATTTCTCGTGTTCTGGATATTTGTTCTAGAAATGCCTTCTCTACCTCTAGATTTAGAGTGCAGTCAGTGTATCATTCCTATTTTCTCCCCCCTTTTATCTCAACCTAGAAACTTGTGACCTGCCTCTCATCTCTTTTGGGATCTCAGAACAAGTATAATTCAACATCTCCTCGCTTTTTATCCTACTTGTCCTTCCAGAACAAGCTATACCCCAAAAAACAACATTCCCCTCATGAGATGTATCCCATTAATGTGTGATGCCAAGTAAGTCATAATTTAGATTATGCATTAAGACTTCCAGGTCTTCCTGTTTGTTTCCCATACTCTTTGTATGTACATCTAAGATGTAGAGCAGATTCAGACAAGAAAGAGGATAGAATTAAGTGAAGGAATCTAGATTATACCATCCCTTCTCACTAGGTTGAGAGTCACCATGCAAAGATGTTCCTCCCCTTCTTAGTTTGATGGACCCCATCTTTTCCCAGCACTCCTCCTTCCCAGAACAACATCCCATACATATATCCTGTACATGTAAACGGCAGAATAAGCTTCCTATGTCAACTCCACTCACAAGTACAAAGAAGTAGTATCATCCAGTCGGCTGAACACTGAACTAAGAGTCAGGACATCAGATGCCAGATCCTCAGCTCATGTAAAGTATAGAGCTCTGACTATTTACATTAGCCAAGGATCTCTTCTGCCACTGGTCTACCGTGTGACCATAACCAAGTCACTTCTCTTTGGGCATGTCTACAGTAGGACATTATTTCAAAATAACTTATTTGGAAATAACTCCCAAAATAAGTATTTCTTCATCTGAAGAAGTGGCTTGAGCCCACGAAAACTCACGATACCAACTACATGTTTTGTTAGTCTTTAAGGTGTTGCAAGACTGTTTAAGTTTTTTCAGTTACAGACCAGGAGATGTAATAGTGTAGTCAATTAACCGATAAGCAAAAGCTTATAGGTTAATGCAATAGCCTACATGCATTTCCTTCTCCTCCCCGGCCCATGACTCCCCTCATGGACCTGCTCCTGCCTGGCACACTGCTGCTGCCTGTGATACAGAGGCAGTAGTACAGAGTGGCAGGGGGCTCCTTTGGAGTCAGGCCGGAGCGCACTGGCTGCTGGCCATGCCCCCAGGGACTATAGAATAGTTGACTAACTGATAAGAATTAATTAGTTTACTTGCCTATTCAATTAACCAATATTTAACATCCCTGTTACTGACTCTAAATATTTCAAAATAGCATGTCCACACTACAGGGAAGCCTCAAAATTAGTCCGAGGCAGACTCCCTTAACGTGGACACACTACCTAGACTTAAGAGCCCCAGGAAACACTGGGAAATTATTACTTTGGATTACTCTGAGGAGTAGTTATTTCAAAATAGCAGCAGTGGAGTGTCATACTACCACTATTTCAAAATAAGAGTTATTCCTCATGGGATGTAGGAGTTATTTCAAAATAGCCAGTCTGTTATTTTGAAGTACTGTGTTTGGTAGTGTGGACACTCCACTTGTTATTCTGAAATAAGGGAGTTATTTCTAAATAATTCCCAAAGGGTAGACCAGGGCTTTCTTCCTTTGTCCATGAAGTCTATTTGGATTATGTCCCTCATAGTTCTTAGTATGTGTTTGCACATTGCCTTCCAGCATTGGTATCATTAAGCACAACTGTGCATTTGTTTTATGCACTATTTATTTTCATTAATGTTCTGTGAAGGTACCCCTTTATCTTTTCTTACTAGCCATTTAATTACGTAAGCAACACGATGTGCAGAAAAAAAAATTCTACCAACGCTCCTATTTTATCCATTAATTCTTTCTATAGATATGCAGATCTTTTACACCTACCCTGAGTAATTTAGTAAGTCATTCTTTCACATTTTTAATACTATCCACAGTTTAATTTATTTGTACCAAATAACATGGAAAACAAGATAACCTTTGACATTAAATTTTTACATTTATTTGCATAGTAAGAAAAGCCCCTGCATTCTGACGTTACTGGTAAAATTACTGTAATCTAAATATAGACTGGAAAGGATGAAATACAAATAATACTTGCTTCTACAGTGCAAACTGTATGTTGTGTAAATTACCTTTCCTGCTTACAAAAAGCTTTCAACTGTCACGCTTAATTTTACTCCTGGTAATTGTGTGTCTTACTAGTGTCTCTTTTTAAATATGTAATGAAGGTGTAGTCATGTCAGTCCCAGAATATTAGAGAGATTAGGTGAGTGAGGTAATATTTTATTGGACCATCTTCTGTTGGGGAGAGAGACAAGCTTTAGAACCAAGAGCTCTCTCTCACCAAAAGAAGTTGATCCAGTAAAAAGTACTTCATCCACTTTTCCTTTGTGGACAGTTTTAAACATTGTTTACATGATATTTTGGGAGATCAAAAGTAGCAAGAGTTTTATATTAATTCATTTTACAGTTTCTCTTTCCTTGAGGAAAAAGGGGACACTGTAATTTTAAATAGTAAATAGTTAAACTTTTTTAGAACTGAAATTACAAAGCTGTATTTAAAGCTAAAACTTCTGACAGTAAATAATGCTTGTCCGTATCTATAGAGGTCTTAAGGTAAAGATTTTATTTTTCTCTTTATTATATGGAAGTTCATGCATCAGAGCTACTGTATTTTAAAGAACCTCAGTCTTGTTTGTTAGCATTTAATGTTAAAACCAGGCAGGTTTTTTTTTACATACGTATTGAACACTTTTATTTACCCAGAGTTTTCAACTATAGTTTCAAAATATAACACATTCTATTAAAATATTTTGTGTTTTGAACACCCACTTTTGTTTGAAGTCTAATTTGGAAAAAAAAAAGTGCAGTATTTCCTGTTATATTGGATTATTGCATTATATATTGAAGAATTGTGATGAATTTTTTTTCATATTGTAGTTTCAGGAATTTCCTTGTATAAGCCATTTGCATGTGTTCACAGAGGACAGCAAAATAGCATAGTCAGACATCTCTGATACACAGTAGCATTTATTTGCAATCCTTTCGCACAGCAGTTCATTAACAGATGATTACTGGAACTGGATTTTCAGCTTGCTCTGTATTTTGATTGTTAAATGGGATGAAACAGAATTTCCAGCTGACAAATGGATCTGCAGACCATGTCCTCTCTGTCAACTGAATATCATGACACCTAAACCAGTATGTTGTTGCAATAAGAAAGCTGTTTATGAAGTACAGCCAGGGGACATTCATCTCCATATAGGCTGGAATCTGAGCATCAAGTAATAAGATGATCATCTGAAGGAAAACGAAAGGTGCCCATGTGCCAAGAAAACAGATGAGTAGTCTTGTCAAAAGCTGCTTTTTACAGACAGTGCAATAGCAGTCAGATGCAGATGAAAAGATTAAAACAGTCTCACTTGTAAAGGAAATAATCCGGACAGTCCTCACCATAGTTATTATTTCTGACCAACAAATTACAAGAGCCACACATATGACAAACAGGATAGCTAATGACAGCCAGTAGCTCTGAACACTGATATAGAGAGGGCATGTAAAAAAGTGGTTCTGTATTTCTAATTCTGCAGAAACAGCTGGAACTTTCAGGACATAAAAGAGGACTGAAATCCATATAAAAACCACAACAAGTATATAAAACAATCTTTGACCTATGTTAGCAGGCTTCGAGTTTTGAGCTATAGTCATGTAATAATCCAGAAAACACAAAAGACAAACTGGATAATGCATGATGCCATACATAAAGGAAATTATCTGACTGAATAGACAAATATGGTACTTGGTAAATCTCATCCCCCAAAGTGCAAAGTCCTCAAAATAGGAGATGAAAGCTATATTCATCAGATGTGTGAAGTCAAGGAGTGCCAGTGAAATACAGAAATATCCCATAAAATGCTGTTTTATATCTTGTCTTCCAACTCCCAACATGAAGAGATTGAGGGATACTTTTGCAAGCATAAGCAGGAGCAGTATATAGCTAGCTTCAAGAGGTTGATTGAGTTCACTGTAGTATTGAAGGGAACAATTTTCATAATACATGGCAGCCATTCTTCAAGGCTAAGAGCCATCAAAATAAATTTGACAGTACCCAGTGGTTCATACCTGAAAAGAGAATTAATGACAGTCTTAAGTATATTAACCAATTATTATTGTAACTCTCCTACCAATTATAACTTCCTCTTTATGACCCGGGGGGGGGAGGAGTGAGGGGAGAGAATATTACAAGCCACTTAATTTTCAGTGGTCACTTGAAATGTGTTATTGGCTTACGCTAAACAATCTGTTCCACCTTGTATTCAGATGTGATGCTTTGAATATATTTCCCAGATCTGAAGAGATCTATGTAATCTCAAAATCTCGTGTCTCCAACACGGCATATGATCGTGACTTCCTGGTCAGTCGAGCAATTATAAAACTACTACTTTAATATTCACAAGTCTTTGTGTATAAAGCTTAAATTAAACCTACATTGGCATGGTAATGTCCTCGTGCTTATGCTGTCCCCTGGAAGAAGTCATTTTGCTTTCCTCTGTATTTTTTTTTTTAGAGAACCTAGATGTGGTAAGAGCAACTGTCCTTATCTGTTTGTTTAGAAAAGCGAGTAAGAGCAAATGCATTAGGGCTTGCCACCTGGCTCTCTCCCCTCCACCCCCCCCCCTTTACCCAGCCTTCTACAGAGAAACCATTACAACCCTGTGGGTAATGTCTGCTTGCTCACTTTCTCTTCTGCCTGCCCCTTGGAGACAATTGGGTGTGGACTGCTTTAGGTCAGTTTCTCCAGGAGCAGCTAGCTAGCTCCTGATCTTTGGAGGCAGTCTTGCAGATTGCTGTAGCCCCAGTCTAGAACACTCTTAGGTCCTCGTGCATAGAGGAATATGTAGAATGGAAGTGCTAGTTGTAGTTAAGATGAAATTAAGTTTTGCATTTTCAGCAAATGTTCAACTACTTGC